CACACACTGTATGAGGTGCTGTATATATATTACTCATCCTAATGAGCTTTTTCCAAAATAGGAATGATTATTCTCTCCATCTTATAGATGAGGAAACCAAGGGTCAACATGATTAAATTAACTAATTAATTAAGGATTCAAACTTTGCACTAACTCATATTGCTACTTACTAAAGGAGAATGGAAAACCTCTATCCCATTTCTTATTACTTTCAAAAAAATGAAACACTAATTGCATAATTCCTTATGTATGAAGTTCCAAATGTAGGCCAAAATAATCTATGTACTGACCTCCAGGTCAGGTTGCCCTGGAGAATGTCATTAAGGACAAGTATAAAGAAAACTGCTGTGATGCTGAAATATCTGGGTACTGCTTACACATGTGTTTACAGTTGTAAACTTTATAGTATGTAAGATATACTTCAATAAGATAGTTAAAAAGTAAAGTGAAAAATTAAAATTATAAAAAGATGAACTGCACCCAGTAACCACAGTTTCAGCTTGGTAGCTTGGGAGCCTGGAATTTGCACACTCAAAGGCAGTTAGGGAAACTCCTGCATGGACACTATGGTCAGATGACCAAAGTTTCCTAGGGATCAATAGTGCCTCAAGGCTTTGTGTCGAGGCCCACTTCTCAGGATATCTGGTCAGAGAAGGCTCACATACTGGGTTAACTAGAGGATTATCAGGCTGCCTGGGCCCTGGAAGCCATGAATATGGTTCTCCCTGGAAAGCTGGGTGCTGGCTGAAGAAGGGACAGGGTTCAGAGCCAGTCATAACTTCCCTTCCCTCTCCTCCAAGTTAGAGCTATAACTCCCTTTAATCCAGTACAGGGAACTGCTCAATGTCCATTCCCAGCTCATTCACTCATTCAGTATGAGTGAATATAATCTCAGTTGAAGTTTCTGTACATGTTTGGAGTATGCATTAGGAGTAAAAAAAATAAAATCTGTTTTTCTAAATTCAACCCCAGCGGGTTCCAAGCAACTCTACTTTGAGATCCACTTGCATTCATTGCATGCATAGGAGAGAGTGCCAACCTTCCTTTTTGGCACAGCCTTGGAATTGTGCAGACTCAAAGCCGTCACCAAAAATAAACTTCTGGGCCTCAAAAAGCAGCAGAAGAGGAGGCATGCTCAGGAGGCAAAGGAAGCCTAAGTCCCCAGTAGAGCAGCACATATTAAGGACTGTGCCCAATCGTGACTACCAAGCCCTAGGTTAGTCACATTCCCTGCAGTAGGAGATCTAAGAGGTGTATTCGGATGGCTGCCACACCAAACATAGTGATGCAGAATCCCAAAATATGAAGAAGGTCAGCAGAGAATCTGTAAGGGATTTGGCAAAGTAAAAGATTCTATAGAGGGGGCTGGGGATGTGGCTCAAGTGATAGCGTGCTCGCCTGGCATGCGCGGGGTGCTGGGTTCCATCCTCAGCATCACATAAAAAAATAAAATAAAGATGTTATGTCCACCGAAAACTAAAAAATAAATATT